GGTGGGGTTGGTATTCCGGATAGTTTATTGTTGAGAATATGGCGAGATATTGGGGGTTGAGAGGGGATTTCAATGTTTTTTTTTCGTGTGCATCGCACCGAAAGAAAAATTGGGTAAATATTGTTAAATAAATGACTCTCTTTTAATAAATAGTAAGTTTATTTAAAGAATTTGGGCGAAAGAAACAAATAAAATGAGAATAGTATAAAGACGCGAGATGCAAGAGTAGCGAGAAAGAACCACTGAGAAAGTGGGGTTGGTATTCCGGATAGTTTATTGTTGAGAATATGGCGAGATATTGGGGGTTGAGAGGGGATTTCAATGTTTTTTTTTTGTGTGCATCGCACGGAAAGAAAAATTGGGTAAATATTGTTAAATAAATGACTCTCTTTTAATAAATAGTAAGTTTATTTAAAGAATTTGGGCGAAAGAAAAAAATAAAATGAGAATAGTATAAAGACGCGAGATGCAAGAGTAACGAGAAAGAACCACTGAGAAAGAGAATCATTTTTGTCGAAGAACTATTTTCTAGGGAGAATAATTTATTTTTTTAGGAGCGTATTTCTCTAGGCCAATCATTTCCGGGTTCATCTCGAAATAATACAATTATGTTGACTTATGCTTATATTACATACGATCTTGAATGAACTCTATTGACAATTATATTAACAAAAATGGGAGCCCTTACGGAGCTAGCGCACTGCGGTGGTGGGCAGGCTTAGTTTTGGGAAGCTAAGCAGCGCTGAGCGCGGTCACTAGATGGATGGGTGACCGCGCGGGAACACCTCAGGAAAGAAACATTGTTTGGAAAAACTGGAAAGAGCGTTTGGGAAAAACAAATATGCGGAAAAAACGGGATGAAGGAATAAGAAACTGTAAAACCGAAAGGTATACGGTGAAATGGAAAAAAAAAATTAACAAAAATGGGTGCAAAAATTACTGTTTCCTGCACTGTTGAAAATTTTTGTCTGAATTTTCCGCGTCAAATCCCGGAAATTTTTATCACGATCAATTTCACTGAAATTTAGATGGATTCTCAGTTTGAATTGTTAGAAAATCAATAGAATACTTTATTTTTCAGTTCCATTGTTCAGTGAAAATTCGCAAAAATCAGGAAAGTTCAAGGGAAAATTGAAAATTCATATCAGTTTGTTTCTGAATATTCATCCTTCATTGAAATTTCAGTCAAACTGTGAAATTTTTGTCTCTCTTCCAATGAAAACTCATGAATTTCCTTGAACTCTAAGTAAAACTTGAAATTTCATAACCGTTTTCTCCCTAAATTGGATTCAATGTCACTTTTATGACAATTACTACCAGATTTTCTATGAAATTTCAGCAAATTTCTAACAGTGTGTACAGTAAAACTTGCCGCATTAAAGATGACTTAAATTTGGGGACGCAGACGTCTTATAAATGAGGACAATAGCGTCTTAATTTCAAACATTAGTTTTTCTAGTATAAAATATGAAAATCGACATTATTAAAATTAACGATTCTAAAATGAATTACACAGAGAGAAATATTCAGTAAAAATTACGGAACAATTCACGTAATCCGCAATGGGGAATCGTTTTCCGGAAATTTTCATAGGAATGGAAGAGAAGAAATCTGAAACGTTCAGTGAATTTTCAGGTTCATCACCGAACAAAGTACGAAATTGTCACGTCATTTTTCCCGAAGAAGTGAAATCTTACAGAAACTTCCCGACTTATTGTGCGTCCAAAATAAAAAATTCTTGAACGTTCAACAATTTTTATGAAGAGGATAAGTGATTTCTACGTT